TGTGCATAGTCTTGGAAACAAGATGGTATCATGCAATTGCTCGGTAACATAACGATCAATCAAACGTTCTACGATTGGGCCCGTAAGATCGGTCGTAGCTCCAAGAAGGGAGAGTTGCTGCTTGTCGACCATTTGGAAAAGATCAATCGCAGACGTGACTGCGGTCTCCAAAGCTCCCCGCATAACATTCTCATCGTCTTCGGTATAGAAATCTACGATATAACGTTGCACATGCCCGTTTGGTTGGCCGTTTGGTTGGCCTGGAGTCGAGAAACTGCTAGACCGTGCTTTCTTCATCGCTGTAGCTATGGGTCCATCCGGCACAGGATCTGGAATATTCGCAGCCGATGGCGGGGGAGGTAATTGCTTTTCAAATACTTGATTAAATTCCTTAAACAGAGCCTCAAGGCCGGGTTGCATTTGTCTCGCAATCATAGGGAAATTCGTCAAAAGGTCACTGAAACTCTTTATATCCTTCTTACGAGGAAGCCCGTTCATAGAAGCGGAATCAGACATTGAGGGCGACCTTGCTGGGATAATCGGTCTACCATCTGGCAGCCTCGTGGCTAGCGTTGCAGTTGTGATTTTGATTTCCTCGAATATGCCAACCAAAGGTCTAGAAATATAGTAGACAAGCCATTGTCGTGGCTCGAGCGAATCTGGGTACCATAAAGTATCTGATAAGAGTTGGGCTTGGTTCAAAGTCTTGAATCCTGCGGTAGGGAGTATTAGTATTAATCCCCCAGTGAATTGACACACTACCAACCCTTATTACTATAAACAAAAGCATCTTTGATCACGACAGTCCTTCCATTAACTGTTGTATATTGTTTTGCCTTCCCTCGGTTCTCCCGCATATTTGGCGCATCCTTCCCTCCCGCGGTCGCAGCATGGTTGGCCGGTACTCGCAAGACATGACTGCCCAGGAAATCTTCCGATCCTGCAAGGTCTGCGTAAAGCGCGCCGGTCTCTCGATCGCGGGAGGTAAGGAGAACTTCGGTAGTAGGAACTAATAATATCTAAAGAGCTATCAGCTTCGTGTCCAATGCCCCTCGTTGCAGATGATGATGGGAATCTAGTATTGTTGGCAAGCTTACATGATGGTGTACCGGCGTACACTGTGTAGGCAGAGCACTCTTGAAGAAAGCACTCAGGAAAGGATTCAAGGGCTGCATTCATTCGACTTTCATTTGCCTCAAAAATATAACTGCACCGCAGGGTGTCAGTCCCTGCAACGCCAGTAAAGGAATGTCTTTTTTCTCGTCAACGTCGTAAGCTTCGTAGGTAGAGTAAAGCTGTTGGGGTTGCGCCTGATATGATTCTAAAGCTTCAAGATGGGCAATCGATGTGAACGAACAATGACTTAAAATACCTAGGTACTGATGCTTGACTATGAGATCAGATCAAGGAATCTTTGGTAATGTTAATAACGCAAGCTGGTCCTATCTTTCTTTGGCTCGTACCTTGATGCGATCCTACCTTCTGGTTCAAAATTAGAATACGCTCGAATACGGTACCTACTGGTGTCCATAAGCCCACTTAGTGCACCTAAGCAATCACATGCATTTGACAGGGGTATCTTTTCTCGATGGAGTTGTCTCGCCGCAATGTCAGATCATGTGACTTAGTTTTAACATACGCTTTCAGATATTTGCTTCCTCTTTTCGGATAAAGTACCTAGCAATCAATTCCTCTTATTAATCGAAACGTTGAAGCTCTTATCAAAATGGTCCCAATGAGGGCGGCAATTGAAGCTTTCCCCACACTTCAGAATGCTAAAGTGACTTCCATCGTGGTCAAGGTGCTACGTAATTAACAACGAAGTACAAAGCAGCAGGCAGTGCAGCTCTCGTAGGTTGTGTATCTTCATCTACTCATACTACTATATACTTTCCCGAACTCAATCATGTCTTCTTCTACTTCTCCTCCCTCCTCAAACACAGAAATGGATAAGAAAGTCAAGAAACGCGTGCTCTGCGGCTATGGAGTCGATATTGATGCTGTAGCCGGATGGTTAGGTTCATATGGTGGCGAAGACTCGACATCAGACATTAGTAGAGGTTTGTTACTCAAGTTAATCACAATGATATATTCCTCTTCTCGTCATCAAGCTCCTTACACATGACTCTCTATTCTCAGGACAGAGTGTTCTGATGTTATATGGAAGCTTTGATTTTCAACTGAAAATCTCATATTCATTCTTCTCCTGACTTTTGGACTATCATTAAACTTACCACAATCAGGACTGTTCGCTGGTACACTCGGTGTTCGTCGTCTTCTCAAACTCTTTGAGAAGAACAATATGAAGGCGACCTGGTTTATACCTGGTCATTCTCTCGAGACCTTCCCCGAAGAATGCGCAATGGTTCGTGATGCAGGACATGAGATTGGTCTTCATGGTTACTCCCACGAAAACCCTGTTGATATGACACTTGAACAGCAACGAGATGTTCTTGACAAAACATATAAATTATTGACAGATTTTTGCGGAAAACCACCAAGGGGAAGCGTGGCTCCTTGGTGGGAAACAAGTAAAGAAGGCGCAGAACTTTTGTTGAGCTACGGAATAGAGTATGATCATAGTATGAGCCATGATGATTGTCAAATGTATTGGTTGAGACTCGGAGATACTTGGACAAAGATTGATTATAGTAAGAAGGCAGAGGAGTGGATGAAACCACTTGTCAAAGGTGTGCCATCTGGTATGGTTGAAATCCCAGCTTCATGGTACATCGATGACCTACCTCCCATGATGTTCATCAAGAAGTCACCTAATAGTCATGGATGGGTGGATCCAAAATTAGTGGAACAGATGTGGCTAGATCACTTCGACTATTTTTACGAGAATTATGATGAGTTTGTGTTTCCTATGACCATCCATCCAGACGTCTCGGGGAGACCACACGCTTTGAAGATGCAACAAAGGTATGAAATTGCTCCTCTTTATGATATCCAGGACTTGTGCCATTCCCGACCATCTTAATCTTGTCGGCTTATTACGTATTATGATTTCGGCAACCAACTAACAAAACGTAGAATCATTGATCATATCAACAAGCATGAAGGAGTCGAATGGGTCACATTTGAACAGATGTCTGATGACTTCAAAAGCAAGAATGTACCAGAGGCAGGTGCAATAATGCCAGCAGCACCCGGAGAAATACTAAAGAAATGAGATAAGTGCCAAGGTCGCTGAGGCAAGATATGAGATAGCTGGGTAGAACGATGGCTGTGAAATATCGAGAGAGAAAACAGTCGTTCAGGATATAGTTTTGAGAAGAAATATTTTCCCATCGATTTAGATATGTTGAATGTCCCAGCTAGCATTGAACTTCAACCCCCTTTTAAACTTTCTTTCTGTGTTGAAATTATCTTAGCCAATCGCCATCAGGTCAGAAACAGTGAATGGAAGCACGTGTATGTTTACGTCCTTCGAGCGATTATTTCGAGTTCACCTTCTGCTCGAAACACACAGCCAAAGCTAGCCTTTACACAATCTTTTGATCACATCATTCCAGGAGAAGTTTCAAACAAACACAACAATCTTTGAGGGAAGTTGATGGAAGCTGATTCAAAAATTGTAATTCTATCTACTAGCTTTAGGAAATATGATGAGTGAGCAGACATCACCTCCACCGCCTGACTGGCCCAAAAGACCAATTCTTGATTACACGTATGGTTCAACGTTTACTTCGATTGATAGAGCTTCCACTAACCTCAAAATCTCAAATCAGGAAAGACGACGATCGTGTCTCCATCTGCTTAGGAAATGGACCTCCAGAAGCACCAAACAACATAGTTTACCATGTCTCACGGCTGCGCCTGGCCTACCATTCCCCACGCTGTATGTATCTATGCACTGAGTGTTCTCCCGTCTCTGTTGTGATTGACACTTCCATCTAATTATTATCTAGTTCGTAAGCTTTTCGATGAAGATGTCAGCTCGCGTGGGTTCGGTTTCTGCGAGATCTCCAAGTTTTGGAGGGACAAGCCTGATATTTTCGGTCATATAGTACAATACGTGAATACTGGATCGATCATTATCCCAACTTATGTTGCCCACAATACATTACTATCTGCTTGCAACGAGTGCTCACCGTCCTCCATCGAAAAACGCTACAAAGCCGGTCTAAGTCTTTCAACCCTAGTGCATATTTGGTATCTTGCAGACTTTCTCATGATGCCACATTGCCAAAATATTACGATAGATCATATGTACCGACTTCTTTGCCACATCGCCACTCATAGTCGTTGGGATGAGTGGTTTTATGACGACAGCCCTCTCATTATTAACGAGTTTATCGATGCTCTTCAAATCGCAGTCACCGCCGAATCAACAATGGTTGGAGGGATCAATCAGGTTCTGCTTCTGCTCGAACAATTCCTTGCTTGTCATTCTACCTATCATAGGTGGACACGAGAGCAAAAAGATTTGGTACCAAGATCAGTTCTTGAGGGTGCAATGTTTGTGGTTCGAGAGAGAAGTGCGGAGCAAAGACGACTCACAAACGAACCACCTGAGGATATTCGAGAAGCTACCGTGAGAATAGTGGGTGAATTTTTTGTGCATGATAATGTCGACGAAGGATGTTCCTTTCACGATTTGAGCGTGGACTTTGATTTCGATGATGTTTCGGGGCCGCATTGGGAAGAAGCTGCTTAGCAACGTTTCCTATTACTGCAATGAAAATTAGAGAATGACAATGCATCAAAGTTACCGCCGGCCAAAAGTCAAATTGGCATTGATTCTATTTCTAGCATCTTATAGCTACTTCATACCATGCATTTCCTATGAACTTGAAAAAGAATAGGCTATCCATTCGGGAAAGGCTAGATCCGCTCTATGAAATGAGTATTGATAGGTTAGAAGTGAATATCAAGAGACCAGAACCGTGCAGTTTTTCTCCTCAGACCTTAATCAAAGACGGAAACCTCCAGCAAACACAACTGTCAAACTGCATAAAATATAGAGAGATTTACACACAGATCATCTTGCAACTATGACGACACCTTCTAGGGAACACTGGCCCAAGAAACCTATTCTTGATTACTCGTAAGTGATTGGTCTCTTTATGCAGCAACAAGAAGGTTGCTTTAATACAGCATGTAGATATGCAGCTATGATTGGAAGAAGTTTCCTAACCACCGCGCGCTATAGTAAAGATGAATTCATACGTATTAACGTCGGAACTCCGCCAAATATCGACACCTTTTATGTCTCCAAAATCCGTCTTGCCTACTACTCACCTTACTGTAAGCTCTCCCGTTTTCACAAGATCACAGTTTCGGACTAACATCTCCCTAGTCCGTACATCCTTGAACTTTCCAAGAGAAGATAGTCAAGTCATCGAGCTTCCAGATACTTGTCCCAAGATATTTCGTCATATCGTTCAATACATGAACACTGGAACAATTATCATCCCAGAGTCTGATGAGGTCATCGTAGACCACAACTATTCAGAAAATACACCAAGGGAACGGCACCTGGATCTCCCTATCCTTGTCCCCATTTGGTTTCTAGCTCACTATCTTTTGATTCCTCACATTCAGAATATTGCTATACACCTCATGTATGCACGTGTAACCCATAGTGGAGACATACGAGCATCTATCGTTGACGAAACGGTTGCTGCGTTGGATATTGCATGTGGTACGGACGGAACTGTGGTCGAAGAAGACAATAATGTAATCGATCTTTTACAGCGTTGGATGAATTGGATTTCAGATATTGGCCCTTGGGCTGACGATCAAACGGATCGAATTTCGGGAAAGGTTTTGGGTATTATGGCAGCCAGTTCGCGAGAAAATGATAAATCGCAAGATTATAATGGTTATTACATACCAATGCGAGCTGACATAGGGCATGTATTTCATTATTACGTCGAGGACAAGATTGACGGGGGAGATGTCGTGGAGGGACTGCCAGATTTTCCACCCTATAGAGATTCATATGAAGCTTAGGCGAAAGCAGAAGGAGAAACGGAAGCCAGATTGGCATCCAGGGTTTCAATCGACATGGCTAACTCCACTGAGTCGAAACTAAACAATCTCGCGATATACAACTTTCCAAAGAATCACAGCTTCTCTTCTCTTCATTCTCTTCTAGCTAATGACAATTTTTTGCCAAAATAACATGTACTTAAAGATATGATCATATGTATTCCAACACTGTAGTGGTATCTACGACTAAAAAATATAACGTTCATTCGGCTAAAGAGGTGAAGGATGAGAGACCTTGAACAGCTTTGATGTAGATAGAAGAAACCACTATATGGTATTTCTAAGGTCTGTGGACCATATCAAGGTTGCTATCCTCAGCTCCCAGCGACCTGCTACTAGGCTATGTGACTATACTGTGCAACACTTTTATACATCCAACCCGATAGGAAGTAAAATCTCATGAGCATCTCCATTCATTCTTCAGACTCTTAATTTAGAAAAAATCAGAGTCTAACGATCCACTGTGAAAATCAGTTGCGAGTTTCCTACATCCTCTTTTGGACCCAGGTGCAAGTGCCCCCAACTGCATACCATTCTCTTCGACTCTCAACACACCATTTACCTTATCATGAGATGCTTTGTTTTCTTCCCCTTGCGAACGTACAGTATCATTACAATAAAGAATGACGACGTACATGTATGAGACTTTTCAGCCTATGATAGGCATTCCCCCGCTTCATGTGTAACAAAATAATTATTAGATCACCAGCCTCAAAATTTACCTAGAGGACATCTTTAATTCATCGAAGAATAACTTTCTGTATCAGGGTTATGAATCTCGAACCTTAATCATGATGTCTGCGTCAACCTCACTCCCATCTTCAATCAAAATCGTTGATACGATGCTCTACCTAATCTCCTTCCTCGATGACCTCACCTCCGCGCTCACAATCCCAACCTGCACATCCACTCTGTATCTCTCTATAAGCCCCCGAAACATCACCACCCCTTCCATTCTCATAATTCATTGGATACCACCCCATCTCCACGGAGCCGCTCAAAACAACCCAACCTACCTCCTCGATCTCTTAGCTCTCTCAGCCAAAACCCTCGTCAATACTCACTCCTCAGAGCGATCACTAACCATAATGCAATTCACGCATGCACCCTCTCCAGGTCAAGCTTTCGAAGCCGACATACCTGAATACATTTCCCTCAGAACTCTCTTTGAATCTCCGCATATCCCCAAAGTCGTCTTCGATGTCCGCGATATTTCGCATTTTCTGAACACTGAATGCCACATTTCGTTGGCCGGAGTCAAGGATCTTCAACTTATGGAACTAGCTGTGCGCAACGTGGGTAAAGACAACTTGGGAGATCTAGCCAAATGCGTTGAGCTGCATAGTCCTCTTTCCTCTGCCCTAAAAAAGGAATGGGAAGTCAAGCGAGTAGCTCTACTAACAATTGAAAGCCAGCCATGCGAGCAACGTCCTATGAGACAAGATACCATGCAACATTACGCTGGAGAAGTAAATATGCTTCCTGGAATATACAGAGTTTTTTGCACGAAACTTCGTCCAGAGAAACTGTCGTTTTGGAGAAATGAGATAGAAACTGCGACGAAGAATCGAATCGAGGCATCGCAAAGTCCTATTTATAATATTGTTGAAAAGAATAGGGCATGGAGTTCCTGGACTGAAGAATATTTAGAGGTGGCCAGTGAATCCTGGAATAGAGATATGTTTAATCGGGCAGGAGGATCAGAAGAAGCGGAGGCAGACCGGTTCGAAGAGGTATTGGAGATAATGCGTGAGGGGAGAGTCCTGGATGAAATGGAGTTTGCCAATAAGAGGAGAAGTGGGTAGAATGACTCTTAGAATGTTAACTTGCAACGTAAAGTTGACTTTTGATGCCGCTATCACTGAACTAGAGTCTAGGGATGAAGGTAACATTTGATGTGCATGAAACCTGATTCTAGAATGAAGTTGGTGTTTCTCTACGTACTAAATAAAAAGGAATTAATCGTCAACATCCGCGAACTTTTTAATATAGCACATGCAGTGTTCCGATGTGGTTTGGACCTTTCTCCCTCACACTTGTGCATATCCGATTCCCTGTTAACGCAAAGATCTACTTCGAATCTGCTCCAATGTAGGAAGTCCGTTTTAGATAGGAAGATATGTTGGAAGTCACATTTTCACATAGATCAAAGATGGGCAAGAATCATTCATTTCGTCATATGCTGGAGAATACATGGTTGGCCTTCTTCATTAATATATTACCATCGGCTCTCATCAATCACGAGGCATACTCGACGTCTCCTGGAAACCCGTTTGGTCATATTTAAAATGTCATGATTTGTCTATGATTACAAGTCTTGCCGTGCAAGCTATGCCAAACGCCGCCAAAGAGTCACACTATGCGTAGAAATTGACAGTGTCTGTAATGAGTTAGTATTGTAGAAAAAGTGAAAGAGAGTCATTGAAAACATACCCTTCTTCTTAGCTTGGACCTCCGCAATGGCATCGACATAATGTTCGTGGCTAATCTTGTTCTTTCCCATTCTAAGTGCAATCATACCAGCTTCCACACATACCGCCTTCAACTGGGCTCCGCCAAACTCATCTGTACTTCGTGCCAATTCGGGCCAGTTGACGGCATCATCAACAGTCATCTTACGGCTGTGAATCTTCAAGATTTGGGCACGAGCTTCTTCGTTTGGTAGAGGGAACTCAATCTTTCTATCGAGACGACCAGAACGGAGTAAAGCAGGATCGAGAACATCAACTCTGTTGGTTGCTGCCAATACCTTAATGCGATCATCCGAGGCGAATCCATCAAGTTGATTCAGTAGCTCCAACATAGTTCTTTGCACTTCACGATCTCCGCTCTTCTCACTATCGAAACGTTTTGTACCAACAGCATCCAGTTCGTCGATGAAAATGATTGCTGGTGCCTTTTCCTTAGCTAACGCAAAACAATCTCGTACTAACTTTGCACCATCACCAATGAACATTTGTACGAGTTGAGGACCGGCGAGTTTGAGGAAGGTTGCATCTGTTTGCGCGGCGCAAGCTCTTGCGAGGAGTGTCTTTCCAGTACCAGGAGGACCATACATAAGAGCACCTGAGAACGTCAGCATATCTGGTTATACACAGACAATATATGGAACAAACCTTTGGGCGCCTTGATACCAATCTTCTTGAAACGATCAGCCTCCTTCATTGGCCATACAATTGCTTCGACCAATTCCTCAATCTGTTTGTCCAACCCTCCTACATCTGTGTATTTTTCCGTAGGTTTCTCGTCGACTTCCATTGCCTTGACTCTGCTATCATATTCCGCAGGTAATGTATCCAGTACGAGATATGAATCCTTATTGACACCAATCAAATCACCTGGCTTCAACTCATCTGGGTCCACCAGACCAATTAATGGAAGGAATATGGTTTGTCGAGTAGAGGTTTTAATAACTGCAGACTTTCCGACTCTGGTAGCATCGAGATCGATATTTGCGCCTTCTTCAGCAGATTCAGCTGTTGGGTCGAGATCGAGTAACTCAACAACGTTTCCAACAAGGTATGGTAGTTGTCTGCACAATGTCAGTGGACTGGCTAAACTGTGATAACAATCTGTCGATTATCATAGCTGTACCTACCTGTTATTTTCAATCTTTTCAAGGTTGTCCTTGATCTTCTCGCCCATTGCAGCCTTCTCATGTGATAAACGTTGAAACTCGCTCTTCATGATTCGAGAATCATTCTCTAAAAGTCGTTTCCTTGTGAGGATATCTTGTGTACCTAAGCTATAGATCTCCTCATCTATAGGGTCCTCTTCCTTTTCAGATTCAGCATCCTTCATTTCAGCATCGGCGTCATTAGTTTGGGTTGGCTTCTTGTCCTTGTCGCCATCGTCCTTCTTCTCTTCCTTTTGCTCTCTCTCGAGATCATCGAGATCTTCTAATGTAGACATTTTGTAGTTGAAGTTGTGTTTGAAAGATTCGAAAAGGGCGTGTGAAGTTAGGTTTTAGAGTAACTGCGATGGGATGGAATAATGGTAAATGTATTGACTTTCAAATGTTGTTTCAATATCTAAGAGCTTCCAAACTGACCTGGAGCTTCGGCGCGACGTATTAGCGAGCAACTTAATACTGTACAGTACTGTAAGGCAACCAAAAGAAGGCGCGGCTCAAGGCTGTGACCAAAAAAGACTGAGTTGTTTTCACGTGATTGGATTACAAATTTAGAATTTCTAGTTCGAATGCAGCTGGCATTCCTCGTCTTTGTACGAAATCTTCTCTGCCTACTTCATCCTCACCGACAACCTTTCCGACAACCACCACCGCTCGCTCGCACATCAACAGAAGACTGTGACATTATCGTTCTTGAACAATCACAAAGTTGCCGGTCATCTTTACGACGATAATTTTGACAACTTCTCAACAACGATTTTGATACATCATTCACGGACGCCTTTATTGGTCATTTGTTCTGCGAAAATCTTCAAATCCGTCGACGAAAGCAGCAAGCGCACTCTCCCACCCTACATTCTTCTACCTTGCGACACTTTAATTTATTCGACTCGAAGCTCAAGTCGACGACGGTCGCATATTCAGATAGTCGAACTCTTTACAAAGTCTTCCTTGACCTTGTAAAACGAATTACATTTCAGTCGTTTCTTTTTTACAAATCAATCTTTCAACTACGGCCACACTCATATTCACCAAATCACTTTCTATCTATTCTACGAATCGACCATCAGTATAACACATACTCACTCGTTCTCGAATCTTCATCGACCGTAGAACTGAGTCTGAATCATAGATCAAGGGACTAATTCCTGTTGTCGTACTCGTCCTGATCTATTAACTCAACCTAATTTCCCCACAATACCGCCAAACTGCATTCTCCGCTTTTTATCAAGCTTTCAACTACAATCCTTTGCGATAAACCTACTGGAGATATCAGAACCCGTCTAGCTGTTACGAAGAAAAGAACACAAGTTCGCCGCAAGCCAAAGAGACGTCCAGTCTTCGACAAGCTTGATAATATTTATCGACCAAAACCTTACAAACCAAAGATGATGGCTCAACCGCCATTAGACAAGAATTTAGAATGGAGTCAGAATTTGAACGTCACAGTTATGTGCAAGGACTGCAAGGAGATTCCACCTAATCTCGTTGAAGAATTTTCTTCAGGAGATTTGGTCTGCGATACATGTGGTGTAGTTATTGGTGATCGAATTGTCGATACCCGCTCTGAATGGCGTACATTCTCCAATGATGACCAGGGGAATGACGATCCATCCCGTGTTGGTGACGCTGCTAATCCTCTCTTGAACGGTTCTCAACTTTCCACCACAATCGCTTTTGGCGACAGCAGCGTACGCAGTCGTGAGCTCTACCGCGCCCAAGGTAAACAAGGTACAGACAAATCAACAAAGGCTTTACTCGCAGCCTACAAAGAAATCGGCGCTCACTGTGATGCTGTCAACATTCCAAAAAACGTTTCGGATACCGCAAAGCACCTTTTCAAACTTGTCGATGACGCCAAAGCCTTCAAAGGTAAATCCCAAGAAGCGATCATTGCTGGCTGTATCTTTATCGCTTGCCGTCAGTGCGGTGTTCCCAGAACCTTCCGCGAAATCTACGCTTTGACGAAGGTTTCGAAGAAGGATATTGGTAGAACTTTCAAAGCACTTGAGAAATTCTTTGCTTCGGACAGTTCGGCCAAGAAGGCGACTGCTGATGCTACTGGTGGTAAGTTGTATAAGCTGAAGATCTTATACTGGTATATATTAACATTGCCTTCAAGCTCTTGCGGCCCCAGATGGTTATCAGACAACCACGTCAACCAATGCCAAAGATCTCTGTACTCGTTACTGCAGTCAACTTGGTCTTAAGAGTCAACAGTTCGTCAAGATATCCCAAGGCCTTGCTGAAAAGGTTTCTACCGTCGGTGATCTCGCTGGTAGATCGCCTTTGTCAGTTGCAGCCGCTTGCATCTACATGGCATCAGCTCTCCTCGGAAAGCCAAAGTCTGCAAAGGAGATATCCCAAGTAGCTGGCGTTAGTGATGGAACTATCCGTACGGCATACAAATACTTGTATGCGGATCGAGAGAAACTCATTGAACCTGAGTGGATTGCTGATGGCAAGGGCAAAATGGAGCTCCTACCGGTTAGTTAAGTGGGTGATACCACAAAACCTAATGGGAACCTTTTGCTTTGAGATTGAGATTGGGCGAAATAAGTCGTAACTAATGATTCTTTTGCTTTTTCATTGCGGGATTGGTCGACGCTTCGGCGTAAATGCCTTGTATTCGAACTTTGAGTTACATTTACAGGGCGAGAATGGACCGAAAATGTCCTGGTTTCTAGAGTTTGTGGTTTTGCTTACTGGCGCAGATAAGACAGGTTTGAGAGGTCCGAAGCTCATGCTAAGAAAACAGTTCTTACGTCGACGACGATATTGACAAAAAAATGGTTTGTTTTATTTTAATAAGGTCTAGATAGAATACATCTATCACGTAAACCTGATTAGATCTTGACATTGTATCATGTGCCAAAGTCGTCCACAGTGATCATTTCACATATTAGAGAAATCCACCGCCAAATCACTCTTAATTAGGTAATCCTCCACAGATCATTCGTCTAATGACTGATTATGCTTCGATGTTCAAAAATTGCTCCGAGGGTGTACTTTATTTTATGTATTGACCGTACCTACGCGCCCAGTGTCTTTTTTTCCCTTCCCCTTCAACGCGCTTTGAATTCTGTTCTAAGTTTATGCCAGGAAGGAAAAGTTATAAATAAACGTTTGAATCCTAACAGCAATATGTATCTACCTAGGTAGTCGTGGTAGTCTAGTTGAATCGTGACTGTTGCTCACCACTTCTCCGAAGATACCTCGGCATGTGAGAATGGCCGAAGTGTGGGGATTATGAATGAAATTCCGGGGTAGCTCAAAGCTCTTGGTCAATGGTAATCCTCTCTTTCTTTCTCATCACATCACATATATTTCAATTCAATTCAATTCTTTATTTTCAGGAATCACTTAAAATTTGAAAAATAACCGTAAAACCATATCATATAATCATCAAGATGTCTGGTCCAGGAGCTGGTTTCGAATATCCCGCAGAGGAGGTTTCTTGGTTGAAGAGAGATGTTTTGCTCTTTGCTAACAGCATTGGGTGTACGAATGACGAGCTACATTTCTTATTCGTATGTGTTTGATACCTCAATTGGAAATGACACATTTTGACCAGAGGCACAGGAATTACATCCCAACTTTGCCGTCTTTCCAACATATCCTGTTCTTCTTCGTAAGCTTCCTCCCCCCTTTCGTTTTATAAATCTGCTAACATAGTCCAAGCATTCAAACGCACAACCCAAGAAGTAATTGACTTCTATGCTGCTTCCTCCGCAACTCCAATTCCCGGCGTGCCAAAATTCGACTACAGACGCGTTCTTGATGGTGGACGTTCAATGACTTTCCTCAAACCACTTCCTCCTACCTCCGCTGGCAAAACCTTCGAGTTACGCTCTAAAGTTATCGGCGTATATGATAAAGGAAAATCTGGCTCGGTTGTTGAGACACAACAGGAGATTGTAGACAAGAACAGTGGAGAAGTGTATACCAGGGCTGTTGGGAGTGCATTCTTTGTTGGTCAGGGTAATTGGAATGGACCTAAGGGTCCGGCGACTCAGAACTTCCCTCCACCCGAAGGAAAGAAACCTGATGCTGTTATGGAACACCAAACTACAAAGGAGAGTGCATTGTTGTACAGGTATGGTTCTGTCTTGGAACGCCGTTCGGAGTCCCCGGCTAATGAATGACAAATGGCAGATTGAATGGTGATTACAATCCTTTACACGCAACACCTGAGCCAGGGCAAAAGATGGGATTCGGAGGGCCCATCATGCATGGGCTTTCATCATGGAACTTCACCGCGCATGCGCTCTTGAAGGCTATTGGTGGTAGTGATCCCAAAAACATCAAAGAATTTTCATGTCGATTCGCATCGCCAGTCAAACCAGGCGATAAGTTGATCATCGAAATCTGGAAAACTGGAGAAATCAAAGAAGGATGGGAAGAAATTCGATTCATCACCAAAGTAGAAGGTGGAAAGGTTTGCTTGAGCAACGGAAGAGCTCTAATGAAGACTGTAAGTGGCAGTTCAAGTGGTGGAGATGGAAAAATGCTAGATCAGGGTATGGCTAGTATCAAGGCGAATTCTGGCTCGAAGACTGGCGGCGCTGCGAACTCTCCTAGATCTTCGGCTAGAGAGGAGAGCAAGGCTCAAAAGAGCAAGTTGTAGTTTATGTTTCGGCGTTTAAGTGGGAATAGGAGCATGGATGAAGGATTATAAATTGGTCGGTATTAGACACCCATACGATAAGCACTACAGACAGAATGAAATATAAGATGTTGGAAATCGGAATTGGACCACTGAAGATTATTTACTTCCAAAAATTGTAACAACAAAGCTGCATAGCTTAGTATCTGTATGGTTTTCGGATAACATTTGAACAATCTCGAAGTCGAGGGTTATTTTGTGGCACAAAGAACCTCGAAATGAAGTTTTGGGTGGAACAGCACCAGAACAATGTATCCGGCAAATCTATAATTGAGATGCGATTATCGATGAGATAGAAAGTTTTATTCTTCAGCAATAACTTCATATTACAACTATCCATATCACAACATTACAAACAACCATCTACACAACATTTTCAAGCAATCTTTCAGAAGATCAACAACTTTATCAACCACCGCGAAAATGGCACCCCTTTACAACGAGAGCGAACTCGTTAAATTCACCCAAGTAGTACGCGATCATTTACTCGAATACAAGTATTCCAAATGGGTATACATTGCGGTAGCCATGACAATCGAACAAGCCAGACACCTGGAAGGAGGCGACCTCTTTGCATCCGATCCTTGGCCAGGTCGCACATATACCGTTAAATCTTGTACAAACAAATGGCATTCTATGGTGAAAAAAGGAGAGGTTGAGCCGGCTCATGCTCCAGCGACTAATGAGCTTGCAATTCCTGATCTGATGCATAACTACTGGGCCAAGGAAAAGGAAGAAGAGATGCTCTCTATCTTCTATGGTACTGACTTTCCTCAAATCCCAGATGATGTGTTCAAGGAGATCGAAGCGGAGTTGGAACGCAAGAAGGCAATGCAAGCTCAGTGAGCTCGTTGTCTTCATCCTACTATGTCCCTCTTCTCGACCGCGAGAAGAGATCAGTAAGTAATTTCTGAGAAGCTAGACCTTTGAGACTGGTTCTCATTGAGCTTGGCTCTCAAGTCGCCCCTCGGCAGATTCTCCTTTGTTTCTGATCAAAGCCATTGTACACTTTCCTCGACAGGATTTCATTTGTTCTTTGATTTGCTTAGATCGCATTGTTTCCTAAATTTAAAATATTAACCCTAAAAATTCTTTCTCCGCAATTTTTCTTTGTTATAACTCTTTGTGATGTCTTTTACTAATTCTGCCTTTGAACTTGATGAGCAAGGCTTTGTGTGAACAAAGAAGCTTCTGTTGTTGACTTACTCCTAGGAATAAGGGAACATCTTGAAGGCTATTTATCTCAACCCCTATTCGAGAAGTGGTTTCCATACCATTCATCAATAATCTCTCTCCCATAATCTATATTCTCTTTCCCCTTTACTTTCCCCCATTACTCATCTATCGACATCGTTACCTTCCAGTTTTATCCCGTGCGAGTTGTCTTCTTGATGGTGCTCCGGAAGATGGCCCATTTTGTCAAGGCATTGCAATGCAAGATGGAGGTCACCTTCCTCAAGTCCACTTTAACTACCGACCAACTTGGATGATGACTCTTTGTTGATACTTTTAGAACAGAACAATCAATACGCTCTTGGAGATTACTGCTCAAGGCCGTGAAAGATAATCCAATTCTCTGGAAAGCAAGAACTGATATACCTTCCGAAGGTTAACCTTAGAGAATTTCATAGTCAAGTTTTTCACTAGACTACCCTACAGGATGGTAAACCGAGAGGGAAATTGGATCGTATGTCCAAAATAATGACACGAACCCAAATATCGGAGAATACAGCAATCCAATGCTCAATATCTCAATTAGTGAACATGTCTTAAAGCTGATGGGATCGGGGTGATCAAAAGGGCATTTCGTAAGATTGGAAGAGATTGTAAATATGATATGATTACTTACACATTTTGTCTTAAAATCCGAGAAATCATTTTAGTAGAAAATTGAAGAGATGAGTAAGTGATACGTGAGAACATGGAGCGAAACGGCATGGTACTGGCTAGCTATATGTACAGTTCTCAGAAGGAAGCACATATATACTGACAGCGAGAGGTTGATACCAGTGATAACTCAGTCCGAGAGAAAAACGTCGATGAGGAGCTCGAGATATGTACCTAACAGTTTGGAATTGATACTCAGCAGAATTGATGAATGCATACCTAGTAGATAGATGTCAGCGTAAAAGTAAGATACTTCAATCCAAGCTCAAGGGATTTATACACCAATATCTATTGTAGATATGTACCTAGGGAGTAAAAGTATTCTAGAAATCTGCTGATCAATATCATCCTAGGATGTATCAACATAAGATGATAGTGTTCAAACCTCTCAAGTCAAATTAGATCTTGATAGACATTAAATGAGTAATTAAATGAGTACCGCTTCGTCAACTATCTTCAAATGCTTCGATTAATTACAACTTTCCCGACAAATTTCATCACATCGATATTTCTGATCCCCTAACTTCCTTCTCATACGAAAATCAATATTGATCTCTCAAATCATGAGACGAAGGCTTATGAAGTAAAAATTATTACGACCTTTATTCTCAATCTAAGCATTGACATCTCGTGCTTCTCGGACGAGAACATCATAATCTGCAACGACTACATGAAATTTCAATACTATCATCCGTAAATACGAGATGAAGTTTTTGAATTTTTGACTCTGGTATGAACAATCATTGTTGTCATCTCGATTGATGTGATTGTAAGATTTGGACTCTTGTGTTCCTTATATACACCTACAATCTTTAACTTCTCAATGAGAATCTACAGTAATTTAATCTTTTTCATTTGCTATAATCTCGTAATCCTCGTTTTAAAACCACTAATCCAACACATAGTGCTTAATTCAGACAGTTTGATATCTATCTCGACAATCGTAATATCAACAATAGTCCCTTTGTGTATCCGTCTCAGTATCTAGCAACCCAAACATATTCCTAATACATTCCAGATAATACAGACCATAATAAAACCCCGAATCTTTCATATACACAAACAATATCTCTATCCCTATCCCAATTCCAATCCTAATCCTAATCCCAATACCTAATATAATCACAAACCAGCCTCGACCCACTCCAAGCACAATGAGACGAGATAAGAACCCGCTTTTCAAACAACATACCCCCCTCATCTTCTCCTCCACCAAACCCTTAGCAATTTCCCAAAGTCTCTCCCCACTCCTCGGGCTCCACGTCTTTTCAACGCTCTCCCTACTTTGAAAGATTCTCCAAAGCACCAGTATCATTCTCGCCTCTCCCGTCCTACCCCGCTCAAACTTCTTCAACTTTTCCACGCCCTCAGCTTGTCTCTCTTTCCACCATTCGTTCAATCTGAAGGTTCCTGCAAGTCCTATTCTTTTGCACTTCGTATCTGCAGAAATCTGCAACCAAGCTACTATCGGTCCATATCTTATGAGGTTATGCTGAAAAATTATGACCGCTCTCTTCGTATCAAAACTCTCATCTTTCGTTTTTTCAAGAAGATTAAATCCCAAGATAGGGATGAAGATACAAAGCACTGCCAATTCCGACGTCCTGAGGCGGGAGAGATAATCGATTTGACGAATTCGAGCATGCCAGTCATTTTTGACACCTTGGGTTTTGTCGAAAAGCTCGTATAATAATTTGAGCGCTTCTTCTTTGAATTTCTGTCTTCGGATTTCGAGCTCGGGTAGAGGGATAGCAAGGGTAGGCGGATCGAAACCTACGCCGCCGGCCCAGTAGATAGTGGGGTGGTGGCATTGGGAAAAAGAATCGTGAGTTATTTCGTGCGTAATTCGTGCGCGAGTTTGGGTTTCTAGGAGGTGCGCGAAGGTCTGATTGATGTAAAGGTTGGGGGTGAGGTCCATAGATGCTGGTTGGTTGCGGACGATGAAGTGGATGTTTTGGTTTACTTGGGCGTTGGAATAGAGATTGATGGCGGTTTTGGTCAGGCCTCGTTCGTATGTTTTGATGAGCTTCTTGAAGGACTGGAGGAGGTTAGTAGAATTATCTTAAGTATTACAATGAGTAGGCTCTTGCCGTACTGCTCAAAATAGGAGATGAAGAGAGGGGATATAACTGACACGTGAAAGCTTGATTAAGATGACGACGTTCTTAGGCGCGTCATGAATGATTAGGTCTATAATTCGCAGGCATACATCTGCTGGTAACTCTGCTCCCCCATTGGAGGTTAATAGATTGGTAGCCATGAGATTACTGGACATGAGAAGTAGGAACTGAAGTAAGGTTGAGAGTTCGAAAGCTGGAAAAATAATTCCGTGGCAGAAACGCGTCATGGAAGACGTGGCAGTTGTGGCTTCTGTGTAAACGACGGAGGCTCGGGAGATTAATGGCACGAATCCGGGAAAGACGGGATTGTCTGTTGTGTAGGAGAACAAAGCACCAAGCCTCTTATAATAAGAGTTGAAAAGAAAGTGTTTGCGAGTATCTGCTGATTGTTAGGTAACATGTAAAGAGGTCAGGGATCCATATAGAGAATTGGGCAGGAGGGACTCAAAAACAAACCTTGTCGGTCAATATTCTGGGTGCCCAAATTGGAACAACAAGTCAAAATTATTACCGGGATATATCCCTTAGAATTGAACCACCATTACCAGACACAATTTCACCAATGCTTATTCTGATTTCATGAAAAACTCCTTAGGAACGACGGTTTGTATCTTTACGCACTATCACACAGTGTATATCTTCAAACAAAGCTAGCAAAAGAGAGAGGTTAGTGACAATACACCAAGAGACACATACAGAAATCAAAAAAATCTAATTACAATAAAGGATCAAAAACAAAGCAATAGGTATGCTTACTGACTGTATCTCTGGGAGAGTTTGAGCGTACACAGGATCCATATGTCAAATCAGAGATATCCAGTAAAAAGGAGTATGAGTTTTGATGATACGTTGAATGAAGCCATTAAGCGAAGACCCCTAGAAGCCTTCCCACAGACCTTCATCAATCAGTGTATGTATTTTGTGAGAAAATGAGAGACTTCAAATGCACTAAGC